ACTCCTATTTGTCTCTCAGCTCATTCTCTACTCCAAACTGTAACCAGAGAACTCTCTAACATCTAAATCACACTATGTCACTCTTTGCAAGAGGGGGTGATGGGGTTTTTGGAGCCAGACTGCTACTGTAACAGGGTGGTTCCCAGGAAAAGGGGAAGTTCCAGGTTCCCTGTCCCATCCAGAAGGAGGTGGAGAGGAGCAGAGAAGAGAAGGAATCTGAAGAGGAGAAGGAAGCAGAATGGAGAGAGAGCCAGAAGGAGATCTGAGGAAGCCACATGGAACAAAAAGCATGTGATGAAGAAACCATGCCTGTTTCTTGGCCCTGGATTGGTTGAAAGAGATGTGGGTGAGAGACCCATGGGGAGCCTGACTATGGCAGTGTTTATATTGATTTTGATTGTGCTCTTTTCCTTCCAGACTTGTCTGGCCCTGTCTGACCCTTTTCTATGGGTCCCGGCCAGAAGGTGCTTTAGTCATGGCAGGCTTTCAGGCTTTGCTTTGGGCCAATCCCTTTTGGATGGACTTTTGCCCGCGAGGGGATGGGTCACTTCAGGTGTTTGATTTAGAAATTATATTCTTTGTCTTCTGTGTTGTATACTCACTGTATTAAAGTTCCTTTTCATTAAAGTCTTGTATGTTCTGTCTTGATGCGGCAGATGGCAGAGCTTATTTAGAGTAGGCAAGTTTGGGGGCCCAGGGGCGCCCCTCTCTCCCTGCCCTGTAACAATACTAAGGTTTGAATCTTATAACACTGTTCACTTACAGACTGCAAGCCTGAGGGAGATAACCTCCACGTTTTAGTTCTCCAGCTAAAAGAGTAAGGAAAGGAGACTGAGGAGAGGTGGTAGGACAAGGAGTTAGGGAGGGAAGAAGCACCGGAGAGCCAGGAAAGTATCTTCTCCCGGGTCTGCTTAAGGATTCGGAACATGCACTTGACGCCCTTGGTTCTGAGGCGAGCACATTTTCAATGCACAGTACATATCAATTATTGTTCTATTAAAACCTCCCAATTGAGGCAAGTCAATTACTTCACTTTCATCCTAAGAACGATTTTAATCCACTCTTTTAAGACGAAACTCCACTTAGGACACTGAAGCCTGGGATCAATTGCGGCTCCACTCCACTCTGTACGAGCCTCTCAGCTTCAGAGCTCAGAAAGTACTCGCGCCGAGGAGCAGCTGCACCCTGGAGAAGCACGCCCCAGGAGCCCACCCCGGGGCTGAGCTGGGAAGGGCGCGGCTGCCCCGGCCGCAGGGCGCGGAACTCCGCCGCTGCAAGCGCTGACCTACCGCCTCGTCCCCGCCCCCGCCGTTACCCGGGCAACCGTCCCCGCCACCCCTCCGCCCGCGGTCAGGCGCACCCAACCCGCAGCCTGCCGCCGGGAGAGCAGAGCCCGCAGCACCCAACCGCCAACCGCAGGCCGTGTCCCCCGGGTCCCCGCCGGCGCCTGCGGCGGCGCCCACCCCGCCCTGCGGGCCAGCAGCGGCGGCTCTGGGCGGGGGCTGGGTGCGGATCCCGCCGCTGCGGGCGGGCGGCGCGGCCTGATACTCCATCCCCGGCCGGTGCGCTCACCTTGAAGGACATCCTGCACATGTCCGCGACCGCTCCGCCAGACCGGCGCGCTTCTGGCGGGGCTTCTGCGGAGACTTTCCCTCGCCGCTCCCCCGCGTTCTGCAGCGACCTCCGCGGGGCCGCGCTCCTGCTCGCGCCAGGCCCGGCTCCCGCGCCGTCGCCCGGACGCGGGGAGGGAGGAGAGGGGAGGGGGAGGGGGAGAGGCGAAGGGGAGGGGGATGGGAGGAGCAGGCTGGCTGGGATACTTGGGCGGCGCCCTTGGGCCCCCTCCGAGCGCACACGCTGCCCTCCGGATACCTACGTTGCACACACACTCGCAACTGCTCAGGCATGGTGCAACCCCCACTCACCCACATACACACTCAACTCTACACTCACGCCCCACGTCCACACTCGCTCTCATATCCTCTCCAAACTCTACACCGGACACTGCACACTACATCCTCCCACACAATGCCAACTCAGCCACACACACACACACACACACACACACACACACACACACATCTCCATCTTCCCGTTACACAGCCTCCGTCACACAGACACTTTCTCCAAACTCCTCACCCTGACATCTCTACATCCCACACTCAGGTTCACACTCAGCACCCCCACTTGCAAATCCACAGCCACTCACACAGTCTCTGGAAGAGAGGAGACCTGCGTGACCTCATTACTGCATCGATAAGAGGAGGATGTCAATGAAACGAGGAAAACACCCCCCACTGTCCCACCACCCTTTCAAATAGCTATGTTCTTTTTTGTCTTCCTAAGTTTTCTTAAGAATCTGTTCTGTTCTGTTTTTTTTTCCTCCTGGGGAAAGTCCTAGGAAACAATCCTTTTGAATAGGCAAGATGTTAAGTGGTACTTTTCTTTTTGAAAGTGAAAGGTAAAATTGGAAATACACTCCTAGCCTCCCTCCTTTTGAAAATCTGGTCATCCTGGGCCTTGTGCTGCAGGTCTGGAGTATGGCAGGAACTGTCCACTCGCAGGCCTTCTACTTGTTGCCTGACCTAGGCTAGTTTGGGGGGCAAATGCGGGTGAGCCTTGTATGTATTTGTTTTAGAAGAGCCATTTTCTAGCCTTTCTAGAAAATTCAAGTGCAAAAATGAAAGTCAACATCTCATTCCCTCCCTATCAGAATCTGTTCATTCTCCCCTCACCTCTGGGCCTCTTTCTTCGCATTTGTATTTGTTATGAATATTCAATTTCAAAGTTAAAAATACAAATAAAAGTTCATAATGACAATGAAAATATTTAGTCTTTCTGTTTGCATTGTATTACTCTGCATTCAAAGCAGTATTAAAATACATCATTCCAAAATTTGATAGAAACTTTTAATTTTTAAATAAAGCAAGACTCAACTTTTTCCTGGCCTTGAGTGTCTCTGGAGGAGGTAGTTTTGAAGCTTCAATGCTTTGATAAACAAAAGGAAGAAAGGTTGGGGGGATGAATATTTTTTGTGCTGTCTATGTAACAGAACTTTCCTGTAAAAACTCTTGTGAGATGCCCATTTCATAAATGAAAAAACTAAGGTTCAGAGACATGAAGTAATTTGCTAATGAATGATAGGACTAGGCTTTTACTTAAGCCTGTCTGGCTTCCCACTACAGCACTTGTGGCTCAAAGTTGTTTTTGTCAGTGAGCGTCTGGCCAGGCTGCTCATGGGATTTTGTCAAAGTCACCTGTACAACATCCACACACCTGGCTAAGCTCATCTTCAAAAAAAAAAAAGAACAAACCCTCATGATCACAAACAGATAGCACCAAAAGTAGCCTACTCAATAACTTAACAGTGACCCACCAGGCTTAATATGCAAAATTAAATCTCTATGACCCCACTCTTCCTGTCCAAATCATTTTTCACCTGACCAACAGAGCAACTCCATCCTCATCAGAGGATTCTCCTGGTTATCAGCTTCCCTCTCATTTCTTTGGCCCTCTTCTGTCTTGTCTGCCCTAAGCCAAATCCTGACCTAGCTGGGGTTACTCCCAGTTCCAGTCTCCTTACTGCTCACTGCCCTGCAACCTTCTGCCCCAACAAGGTTGAGCTTGGGCCTTATCCCATTCTGCACATCCCTTAACCTTTGACCCCAAAGGGTCTGGCATTGCCCTTGACTTTACGTCTGTTACTTTTTTTTAAAAAAATTTTTAAAGATTTATTTATTTGTGCATACAGAACTGGGGTACAGGCCAGAGGCTCAGGGGCGGTGAGAAGCTTCACCAGAGACAGAATGGGGAGCAGAACAGGCAGATCTGACGAGGTACACTGCTGAGGGGAGCAGCGGGCCGGTCAGGAGAGGTCTGCCACGCCATGTGGTCACCTCCAGGGCAGGTGGGGATCAAACTCATGCAGAAGCAGCTTTAGATTCTCAGTGCTGCGCCACCAGGGAGGGCCACCTCTGTTACTTTTGATTCCTCAAGCAGAATCGAGCTTCTCCAAGTCAGATCCTATGTTTTCTTTAAGGGCTAATTTTAGTTGGAGATATGGGAAGTAATCAAAACCTACTAGATGTTTCAGTAGTAGTAGATTTGTGTTCTCCCTAGCTACACAGTCAGCGGTCCACTGTTATTCTCCACAGACACCCACTACTCAAATGCATAGACATCTGTGTTGGTCTGAAATGAGGCTGTCCACATTCATTATCACCTTCTGTTCACACCAGCACAGACTGTGATGGGTGCTGTGCTGTCCCAGTTTATGTTCTAGCAGGGCTTGTGTAGACAGAACTGTGAAGTAGGTCGTGCTGTTCTACTGAGTCCTCTCCCTCCTCTTTGTCACCAAGCCCCTTTCCCCCAATTAAGAGTCTGCTCTGGACAGCATGTCTGTCGACAGTCCTTGTCTACCTCCTTCCCCACATCTCCCAGTGGGGAGCATTTACACTAGACAAGGCTTCATGCAGTGGGGAAGACAGCAGGTGCAGAATCATTGAATCATTCCTCCCCACATCCATGGCCCCTTTCCTTTTCCTCTCAGAACACAAATTTTGCTTTGCGTCTACCCTTCCTTGGGATGTGTTTCTGGGGAGCTCAGTCCTTTTTATCTTGTTCAAGTTTTCTTATGGCGCCTGCAATAAATATGGGCAATGTGGCACGTTCTGACCCCTGAGACAAAAGAGATGTGCTGAGGGCTTCCGAGGAAGGTTTCCTCTCTTCTAACAGAGACACCCAAGAAGAGATGGTCCTTTCTCTTTGGGACACTGTCCTGTGCGGATGTGATGACTGGAAATGCTGCAGCCATCTTGTGACCTGTCCCCTGAAGGTAGCAGAACAAATAGATGGTGCCAACTGAAACCACCATGTCCCTGGACTTACTTTCCTAGGACTCCTGACAGTCACTCTTCAATGCTGGGGTTCAGGCAAGGTGAGAAGAGGGGCAGCAAGGAGCTCTATGCCCAATAAAGGAGGCCAGCATGTAGAAGCAGAATGCCATCACTAAGGACTAATATTTAATGACTCAAGCAAAGAAAACTCCTGGTTTCTCAGAAATTAGGATGCGAGGCAGGCGTCTGTACAGAAAAGTAAGTTGTTGAAGCCACTTACCATGGCTTCCCGTTAGTTGCAATTGATAGTACTCGCCATGGGGTGAGATGGGAGACAAAGGTCAGGAACTTACCCCACGTGATCAATGGTTATAATGTGCTGGATTTTGAGTGTGTCCCTGAGTTTTACTCTTAGTCCAACACTAGCTATTATTCCAACACTAGTTGTAATCCCAACGACCAAAAGTAAGACCAAAAGTAAGTATTTGAATCCAGGTATTTTTTTTTTCCTTCCAATATTAGTGTGAACCCAAGAGCGACTGATGATTAGCATGATTCAATAAAACCAACCCAGGCAAATTTGACAGTAAAACTGCTCCTGTCATGCTATCTTACTAGCTTTGTATGTGTATGCATTTGTGTTTCCTGTTCTGCATTTTACAACCTCAAGTTAGAATTAATCTTCTTCAAAATAAATGAATTGCAGATAGGGTGCTACTAGAAGGAATTGGAGAATTACACCCAAATGATATTAATTACATCTTAGATATTAATTACAGTGGATAGTAGCTCCCCTCACCAGGGGCTTTCCTTTCTAAAGTTTCAACTGCAGCCTGAAAATATTAAATGAAATATGTTATTTTGTGAAAGTCACCTTCACATAGCTTTATTATAATATTATAGTTGTTCTATTTAGTATTAGTCATTGTTGCTAATTTTTTCCTATGCCTGATTTGTAATTTTAATTTGTACTTTAAACTTTGTCACAGGTATTTATGTATAGGAAAAATAAGCTATCGTCTATATTGGGTTTGGTGCTATTCTCAGCATCCACTGGGAGTTGGAGAGCACAGCTCTCGTGGATATGTGTTGCCTTTGATAAGCAATGTCCCTAACGTTGCTGTCTACTCAATAAATATTAAGGTGGGAGATTTAGCCTAGTCATTTTTTGTCTGATTACAAATCCAGTACATAAATAGAAAACAACAATAACTTCCTGGCAATGTCTCGGGACTACAAATTGCTAATTATACCTCCAATCTTTTATTTAGCAAAAAATAACATTGGGCTCCCATATAGTCTATTTCTTTCTTTCTTTTTTTTTTTTTTAACATTTATTGTTTTATGCATACAGAACCGGGGTACAAGCCAGAGGTGAAAGGGCAGGGAGAGGATTCCCCAGAGACAGAGTGGGAGTAGAAGAGGCAGACAGTTGAAGTACACTGCTGAGGGGAACAGCAGGAGAGACAGGGGAGGTCTGCCATGTGGGTTAGCTCCCTGGCTGGAGATGGAACTCATGCCATTGCGGTTGCAATACTTGATAGCACTGAGACTTTAGCCCCTGTGCTATCAGGAGGTCCCTCGCAGATGACATGGGGTCCACACGCTTGTCATATATGGAATACAGCTTCTGATATTCTTTTCTCTAGTCAGACTTGGAGTCTGTGCTTGTATGGTTCTTTTTAGGAACCTAAGGCAAGTGGCTACCAGCTTGCAAGGGAGGCCACTGAGAGGCAACAGTAAAGAACATTGTCGTATATCTGCATGGAGGTTTCTGCCTGGCCACCATCATGGCTTCACTGGAAACACAACTAAAGAATACTTATACCACTTCTCAACATGGTAGAGGTAGTGCTGGAGAAGGGGCTGTGACTCCATCTTTGCGTGTGCCGGTGTGTGTTTTAAATTAACTG